GTTCTATATCTATGGTAAAGTGCATGAGAAGAACATTAGGAAACCGAAAAAATTAACCCTCTAGGTTAATTAGGTCACGTGTTAGAGCAGTCCAAATTTGCGAATTTGGCTTTTTACGGATAGCTATAAAACCGGAAGTACATGTCTGGTGTCAAAGGTCAAAGTATCAAATGATAGATAAGGTCAATGACCTTTGACCCTATAAAGGTCAAGGTCATCAAAGGTCAAGGTCACGAGATACAAGCCTTCACAAATTGAAAAAATTCGACCGGAAGTTGCAAGAAAGCAAAAGTCAAATTCAAAAATCCATTTCCAACATTTTTGTCGCCATCGACTAAAGTATACACCAACATAAAAATTTGACCAATCCCATTCTCCCCCGAAGCCCCATTTTGAGTTTTATGAAAATGTATCAAATCAAGATGGCGGCCGAAGTATTTTTTTCGGACTAAATTTTATTTTAAAATCGGCCATAGAATTAAGATTAATAACGATATACATAATTTCGTTGAAATATTTCAATCACACCGGAAGTTATTCAACCGGAAGTGAAAATCGATTTTCCACTTTGACCGGAAGTGACGCAAAAATTTTGAATACGTCAAATGGTTTACATTAGTGACATGCATCTTTTATCAAAATTTCAGATTAATCCGAAAAAAACTGAAAAATGGTCCAAAAATTTCGAAAATCAGTCAAAAAATGTCTGCGACAAATTTTCGAATTTTGAAATTTTGAAACTGCTATTCTTTCAGATTTAAACAGTAGATTCCAAAAATGCAAACCCAAAGAAAATCGACCGAAAAATACGACTTCTAGAGCCGATTATCTATTCTTGCACATATTGAACAGTGGCACTTCCGGTTTTGCAAAAAAGATCCAAAATATATTTAAGCACATCGTCGCCTATATCTAAGGTTCGTGAATGTTGAATGGTTGCTGCAACTATTGTAGTCTAAGCTCAGGAAGGTGTGTAAAAGTCGAAAAAAAAAAAAACTAGAGCCACTCGTGGCACAGAGTGGGACTTTGCAAATGTAGCAAATTGCAGAAGACCCCGAAAAAATCAACCTTCGCCGATAATTAGATCAAGCGCAAGAACAGTCTAAAGTTGAGAAATTTTCATTTTCTAGAAGATTCTAATACCGGAAGTAGACGTCGGACCTCACAAATGAAAGTATCAGCAGATAGCCAAGGTCAATGACCTTTGATCTTGTAAAAGAGAAGGTCGAAAAA